GGGGGGGGCGACGGTGCCCTGACATCTTGCTGTCACCTGTGCTGTCCGTCGTTGAGCCGTCTGTGTGCACCGAGCTCTGACGTGATTTGACCCGACCTGACCTAACTGCTCCATTGTCTGTGTTTATATTTTCTGGTCTGATCATTGTTTGATAGCAAGTGACTGCACTGAATGCTGATGTGTGTGTGTGTGTGTGCCCTCTGTACATATCCACTCCTTGCATGACCAGGGGTGGGTGGGTGGGATGGGACGGATGAGAGACACCATGTACGTACGTACGTACGTAGGACACCTGCGCATACATCAATCAGACTTGCATCAAGTGAATGATATTATTCAGTCAGTAAGGGCGAAATGTGCACAGCCAGGTGGCTCATGACAACAGCTGCATACAAATGACTCAGCCCATGTCTCTCTCCCACTGATTCACGCAAGACTGAGCCGATGACAACGGAGGCATAATCGATCTCGACAGCTGCTGCCCCTCCAGCAAATGACACACCTCGCCCAGTCAGTCGTGGATGCACCCCCATCCTCTGACTGGTCTATTCGCCCGCTGACCGCCGCACCCAAGACGACATCGGCATGAGTGAACACCCCTCCAGCCCCTCCCCTCACCACACACACATTATGATGCCCATGTATGTGTGTGTGTGTGCGTATCAGCCCCCTCCCCGAGTGAGCTACCAGCGTCGGCAGATGGCCACCGGGAAGGTATATGTAGACACCCGTCAATATGACGTGGATGCAGGAGTGCATTTGACCGCTTCCACACCGAGTCAGCCGCAGTGGACACTAGGGGCGCCCAGGTGGGTGAGCGTGTGTGGATGTATTTGGGTGTGCGTATGGTGGGTGCAGGGAGTGTGTGGCCGGTGTGGTGTGTGACGTATCATGTGGTTTTCTTTTGAACGTATCATATCATTCACTCGACGCCTGTCTGGTGTGGCAGGCAGATGTGTCTCGTCGGTCTCACCCCTGACCCTCATGGGACATACGTCCACACACACGGCACACACAGACACAGACACAGACACACGCATCAGCGGTGGTTCCCTTTTTGCGTGCCTTTCGTAATTGACGACCAACAGTGGAGAGGATTGTTCCGTTGTGAGTTAGTGAACAGGTGCTTCGTGACGTCTCACATGCATAAGCTGCCAGGCAATTAAAACGAAGCCAACTGAACGACCATGCAAGGAAGAAGATGCGACAGGCAAGTGACAGGCACTAGGGGACAGCAATTCTCACGGGTACGGTAGGCACTGCATCTTGCTTTACGTGCGCATTGTGCAGCAGCCTTTATTATGTGACACACCAGGGATTAGAATGGATTCATCATGCCTGCCTTCGTGTGTGTGAAATGAGTGGATGACAGCGTTTACATACATATGTGGCTCCATAAACAGACATACACCGGCTGCATGTCCTGATCAATGGCTTGCACCAGCTGCAATGCACAAACCAAACGCCTTCTAACCGACGGCTGGTCGATGGATCGTGTGTTGGCATTTGCATGTCACTTAGCTTTCTTCGTCCTATCTTTCGCACCCCAGACCACCACACACAGCCATGTATTGCAGCGCGCTATTGCAACCACCCGCCCAGAGTTCCCCTTCCCCCGGTGCACACGGACATTCCCTCATGTCTGTCTGTCTGTCTGTCAGTCAGCTTAGATGCATTGTCATGCACTCCACAGGCGTAGACACATACAGTCACAGGCGGAGGTAGGCAGGCAGGCAGGCAGGCCAGAAGAAAATCACAGATAGGTATCGGGCAGACCCGGCGGCTGTTCAAGACGGACACACATTCGCACACTTACTCACACAAACACATCAGGGCAGCATGACGATAAACACACACACAGGCAGAGAGCCACAGCCACTTAGTCATTACAGTCAGTCCAGCCACCGCACACACACTCACTTCAACAGACACACAGACACATACAGACACACACACACACAGGGGCACCAGCAGTGTGCTGACAGATCAGCTACACTGAGATGACAGGCAGACAGACAGCGGCGCACAGAGGTCGGCACAAATTAATGGAAGGCACCCATTTATGTCAGTGCAGCACGATAGAGGGCAAGGCACATCTCCGTCTCTCCCTCCCCCCTGACTACTGCACCACACGCAGCACCTCTATCTCGTCAGCAATGAAGTCAAGCGACCCGCCCAACAGAGCATCCTTCTCGTCATCCCTCACTCCCGTGTAGCCCTCAGGCACATAGCCGCTGAAGGTGTACTGAAAGCAGCTGCGGATGTCGGCAGCAGGCTGGTCACTGGGGTAGCCATCACCGAAAATGATAAATCCACCGATCACCATATTCGCACCCTCCGCATTCCTTTCCCTCCCCGCCACCCACACAGACTGCTCCCATTCGTCGATCTCGATCTTGGTCGGCTGAGGGAAGTGGCCGGCCAGTGAGAAATACCATACATCACACCCGGGCAGTTCGCATTCCTCGTAGCTTTCGCCAGTCGGGTCGTCGGGCAGCTGGATGCCGTCACTGACGTAGGCGCCGAAGACATACTTGTCCTTCTTGACCACAAACACGAGAGGCTTCGCGCCGCCCACATTGTCCAGCAGATCGCCATAGGTGGTGCCGTGCACAGACGTCCTTCAACACACACACACGGAATCTGCCCATTAGCTGTCACACGGCCCCAGCTGAAGTGTGTGTGTACCGGTAGAGTGAGGTGAGTGGTGTGGTGTCATTGCCCCCCAACAGCCCGACCAGCGCCTCATACTCTGACGCAGACAGCGACGTGTTGCCAGGAGGGGACACCTGCAGGCCGCGCAAACGGACCTGAACACACGAGTCAGCCATGGACACCAAAGCATCAGATGAGTGGGTGAATAGGTCACGGTGTGTGTGTGTGTGTCACGTACCTCCTGTGCGGGTCTTGCCTCTGTGCCAACACAGGTCCCCACCGCACACAGAATCATCATGATAACAGCACTCCGCCAAGCAGCCATCACGTGAATGGGAGCAGAGAGAGAAGGGGACAGAGAGCCTTGTTGGTCAGAGGGAGGACGAGGCAGACAGACGCGAGATGAGGTGAGAGGGACGAGGAAGCTGACAGATTGCCTCTCGTCGGCTGATAGATCTCACCGGGTGCTACAATGACAATACTGAATCCCGATTGGAGAAGCCGCAAGCGTGGCACAGGAACAAAAGGAAACCCTCCTTCCTGCGTCTGAGCTCGCAAAGTGAACGGTTTTTAGGAAAAGGTGCCCTAAACCGTTTGCTAGAAAACCCGCCAGTGCACGTTTTCTCTTCCTTTCGATGCGTGGGTTGGCCCACCGGCTGGTCCCCGCATGCCTGCCGCCTCTCGCTATCCCACCGCAACCACTCGCCGCGGGCAGATCTGCGCTTGCATCCCCAAGATGTGTGCGGCACCTGGCAACATCACGCAAGGAGGAGGGGGAAGATGACAGCACTGGCAGCAGCAGCAGCAGCGATGACGTGAGTGTGGTGAATGAGGGTCAGCGGGCGGTGGACGAGAGGAAGATAGGATAGTCTAAGAGAGAGGTCGACGACGGCCGCACGGAGCGACTCATCATTGGCATGGTGAGAGCAACGCAGACGGACGGAAGAACGGATGAATGGCTGGCTGCACTGCCGCAGTAATCAATGTCGGCGTGTGTGCTGTGCTGGTCAGGATGAAGGTGCGGTCTCGCGTGCAGAGGAGGGAGTGCTGCTGCAGAGGTGGCGACGTGGCATACAGATCTACCCAGGTGGGTGGGTGCCACTGACGGAACCAAGCCCAGCACATCTCACACACTCGCACATCCATTGTGTGTGCAGGTGGCCCTGTTGACCGCTATCTGCCTCCAATGGACCCTTCGCGCTTCCTTGTCGAGCCCGACAAGCTGACGAGAGAGAAACAACGATTCCAGGTACTGCCAAATCACACACCCTGGATGGCCGACGGTGTTGTCTGTGCTGCCTCCCACAGGTGTTCTTCGCTGCCTTCCCCTGGCTGACCTTTCTGGCCATGCTGAGCTGAGCGCTCCTTTCGCCCTCGTGGCCACGTTGCTGCCACGGCTGGACGAGAAGGCACGGGCCAGCTTGGCGTCTGAGTCAGAGGAGCTGCTGCGGCTCTTCCGCGTCCCCGAGTTCGCCATTGTCCCATTCAGGTGCGTACGGAACAGACAGTCAGACGGACGCACACGCACACGCATACCCATACCCGGCGTGTGTTGGTGTGCTGATCGGTTTGTGCACAGGGCGTTGGTTGACGTCATAGAGCGTCCCCTGCACTCGCTGATCATATTCTTCCACCGTGACGTCTTCGGCACCTACGCCCTCCTGCCGCTGCTGGTCGACCTCGCCAGGCTGTTCAGGAACCACAACATGCCCGTGGCTGTGGTGGCGGTCGATTTGGCCGGCAGCGATGTGCCCGACACACACAGAAAGAAATTCCCACCCGCCCTGTCGCCATTCAGCAGGTGTGTGTGAGGATAGAGAGACACACGGGGGGGAGGGGGGGCGAGAAACGAATGTGTGTATCCTCTGTGTGTTTTGGCTGGATGTGTATGTGTAGGTGTTGTGTCCCTACAGCCAGTCTGGCGAGCCGGGGCTGCTGGACCACGACGGCCCCTGGAACGCTGTGGAGATCGTCAAGACGGTGGAGAGCCAGGTCAACATCCCCGACACACAGCACGTCTACAGGGATGCAAGAGTAAGCGACAGCGAATGCACAGCCACCCACCCATCCACACCTCTCTTTGTGTGTGTGTCTGTGTTGTGATGGTTTCTGGCTCGACTTTTAATCAGCTCAGTCATGTGTTGTGGTTTATGGCTGTCGTTGAATTTGGCTGAACAGCATGACTTTTAATCAATCACCCGTTGATCGCTGTCGCCGTCTGTGTGTTGTGGGCACATTTTGCTCTCATTTGGATGCGTTTGAGAGCAAACATGTATGAGAGCGCATCATATGTGGACAAACAAATTCGCAAATGTGTCTCATCTAATGGATGTGTGTCTGGTTTGCACGTGTCTCTGGTCGGTCTCTCATCCACCCCGCCCCCGCCCTGCCCCTCCCTGCCCCTCCCTGCCCATCACACGCCACTCACGCACTTATACACACATCAGCAGGCAGTGCAGTCACTTGACATCGACAGAATGATGAGATCAGAGCGCACACGCACCAGTGCAGACAGCGAAACACCCAGGTCAGGTCAAGTCAAATCGTGTCAGCGCTCGACGCACCGACGTCTAAGCAAAGCACTGAAATGAACAAAAACTAACGTACGAATGTTCAGGCTATGCAGGAAGAGAGCTGTTTGTTTCATTCGCACACAACGAAGAGCAGACCCAGGGGACTAGGCTGCGGGAGGCAGTGAGTGGCGAGGCGCTGCCGGCCGCCCAGTGAATGAATCAACGAAGGCCTACCTACACCTACACATCACTCTCACCGACCAGGCCGGAGCACAGGACAGTAAGTACAGCACAGTAGACCAACATGCACATACCGATACACATACGCCGAACAGACAGCAGGCAGCCAGGCAGCCAGCCAGGCCGTCTTTCCCCCGCCAAGGGAAGGGGGGCGCTGCCAGCTTGGGTGGGTGAGGGAGTGGCAGAGATGTAGCTCGGGCAGCAGGTGGGCATGGGGGAATGGCTGGCAGCAGCAGTGATCGTGATGCCTTGAAGGCTCCCCATTCGTCAACAGAAAAGAGTGGATGACCAAGTTGGGGATCAGAGAGAGCCTTGTTTGGTCAGGTGAGAGAGGGAAAGAAGCAGACGAGGGAAAGAAGCAGACAGATCCCTAAGCAGATCCCTAAGCTGAGGGTAAGCAACCCTGAACTACCCTCAACCCTAAGCCCTAATGTCTGCCTCCGCTGCGTTTGGCTGCTTCGAGGATATATTTCTCTCTATTGCACTCTATATTGTCATGCAAGTGTTCTGTGTCAGTCGGGCCACACACGTGCGTACACATCAGGGCAGGAGAACGACTAACACACAGGTAGAGCCACACTCACTATTCATTACAGTCAGTCCAACACCGCACACACACTTCAGCAAAGAAACACAGCCACACACACACCAATACACACACAGGGGCACCAGCAGTGTGCCGGCAGATCAGCTACACTTAAGATGTCAAGGCAGGACAGACGCACAGGCAGACACACAGACAGACATCCAAACACGGCACATCACATGCACCACACCAGACAGCACACCGACACATGGACAGGCTCACCACAGACACACGGGCACACACATGCAGTCACGTCAGCCACACACAGGCAGGCAGGCAGGCAGGCCATGTCGACACATTCCAAATCACAGTATGTAACAACACCATCCATAAATCACGAGAGAGAACAGGCCAACACACACGCAGTGTGCGCAGCAGGGCAGACAGCCAGCCCGACCAGAAGTCGTTACTACCAGAGAGAGACTAGTTCCGTTGCGCACATACAGCCACACACATACAGGCAGCCACACGCACATCACATAGGCAGGCACACGCAGCACACACTGTGGCTACTCTATGGGTGACCACACAACGACCCATCACGCCACACCACCGATTTAGCTACTTGTCCTTCTTCCCGCCGTATTCGGCGGGTCGGACAGCATAGAAAATGGCGGCTGCCAGCGCCGCGCCGACGAGCGGTGCGGCAAGGTAGAGGCCGATGTAGTCCCAATGGCGGCCCTCGCTCTCCATTGTCAAAACGTGTGTGATTGTGACGCCGAACGAGACGGCGGGGTTGAGTGAGCAGCCACTCACGCCCCCAATGGCGATGGCCGCCGACCCCACGGTGCTGCCGATGGCCAGGCCGAAGTAGTGGTTGGGTGTGTCCTGATTGGTCGTCGCCACGTTGAGGATCACGAGACACAGGGCACACGTGTACAGGATCTCCACCAGGCAGGCCGACATGATGGTGCCCCGCTTGTCGTCGATGGGCTCTAGGGCGAACGAGGCGCCCAGGACGCCAGAGTACGTCAGG